ATAGGTCGTTTTTTGACCAAAGTAAAATAAAACTACTCTAACTCAGCAGCGAGCTAACGGTGGCAGCTAAAAATATCATATTCGTGATCAGCGCACTTAGCTCTACCAAATCCCATGTATTTCTCCAAAATCCCAGGGGGGACACTTCGGGATGTTCACTCATGAGATAACGCTTTGTGATAGTGGACTGATCCTACATATTCTTCTCTTGTTTATCTACAGGCAAATGAATAGAACCGATTATTTTTCCATCAGTTTATTTTCTGATCGATTTCTCATAGCATGTTCAACAGTTCTTTTACATTCTATGCCATTATGCTTTTATTTCAGATATGTCTGGCACTACGGTACGATTACCATGGGGTGCCGAAAAAGAGCATGGCACAATATTAAATCCTAATGATTTTGGTCAACATAGTTATAATAATAATTCAACATTTGATCATATTCGAATTGATCAAACAATGAAACCTGGCGAATATACGTTACACATTCTCCTTACACAGTTTTTTGTTGCTGCTGAATCCAAAATTGTTGATGTTTGTTCTGATAGTAAACAAGTACGTAATGGAAGTTAGTTGAATTTTAAACTAAACTTAGTCTTTACGCATATATCTAATCTCGTAGACGCTACCATTGAATCAATGCTTAAAACGTGGTGATGATTTACAATTTGATCAATTATTGGATGTACTTCGTGCTATTTCTGAACATTCACTGCCATCGATTGTACGCATTCTATTCGAATGGTTTCGATTACATTTGAATGATGAACAGATCAAAATCAAAACAGCAAAAGCATTAACGAGGTATACAACAATAATTTAGTAGTCGCTCTATAACTCTAATTAATATTTCAATTTTTTTTTAGAGAGAATGATTGGTTAGACGAACGTCGACAGGTACTATACCTTAGTTGTATCTTATATTATTTAATATTGTTTTTCTTTCCGTTTAGCTCACTGTTCATTTTATATTTTGTTTAGTATTAATCGATGTTTTAAAACAGGTGAATAAAATAAGAAACTATTTTAAACATGTATTTTTGACATCTATGATATCTTTTCTTCTCTAGTTACCATTTCATCCTGGATTTGATGTAACAAATGTGGAAGATCAAGCTTTTAGATGGTTTAAAATGACTGATAAATTTAATGATATGTAAATGTCACACATTTTCTCATGAACTGTAATACGCATTGGCTGTTTGTATTTAGGACATCGAATCAACCGAATCATGTAAATTATCAAATTATTTGTGATTTATATGCGGAAGTTGTTGGTGTACTTGCACATAGTCGGTAAATAAAACAACTCTTTGCATACACTCTAGTTTTCTTTAAGTCGTCTCGTTTTCTATTTCAGATTTTTGACAACGAAACGTCGTTTTATGCTCGAATTAAATTCATTGCGTAAAGAAACAGCCAGTCCTATTATAAATACAAATATCATCAGTTTATTGATGGGCATGCGTTTTTTTCGTGTTAAAGTACGTTATTCCATTTTTGACTATTTAGATACTGTATCGATGAATATTGGTTATATTTTAGATGACGCCAGTTGAAGATTTTGAAGCATCCTTTCAATTTCTACAAGATTTGGCAAATTATTTTTTAGAAATACGTGAACGTGATATCAAAAATGCCTTAGCCAGTTTATTTGTTGAAATACTACTTCCTGTAGCGGCTGTAAGTTTAATCATCTTAAAATGTTCATTCTCGTGCGTAATTGACTATATTGGGTTTATTGTTCCAAGGTTGTCAAATTAGAAGTAAACATTCCAATTGTTAGAAATTTTGTTGAATTATTACATTCTCCTGTGTTTGATTTATGCTCAAAAACAAAACATCGACTGGTAAATTGAGGACTTTATGTTATTTCCGAGCTTCAATTGCCTCTCGTGAATAGTAAATCAATTACTTTTATTTCGTTAGGCTATGTTTCCATTGATGACATGTCTTTTATGTGTTAGCCAAAGACAAACATTTTTAACGAATTGGAATAAATTTATGATGTTATGTTTGGGAAATTTACGCGGAGATACTAAACTTGCTCGTGTTGCGCTTGAATCATTGTACAGATTAATATGGTAATTAATAGCATACGCTAACTGTTTGCTTCTTTGGTACCACTGATTTATCGTTTTAGGGTTTATATGGTTCGAATTAAAGGTGAAAATGTCAAAACAACGAATCAACATTTAAATCTTATTGTTAATAGTCTTTTCCCAAAAAGTTCAAAAGCACTGACGCCAAAAGATGGACCATTGCATATTTTTGTAAAAATCATTCATTTTATATCAAAAGTGAGTATGCAATAAACAGGTATAAGTACAAGATTTCTGAATTTATCTTTCTTTATAGGAGAAACTTGACTTTGCAATGAAAGATATTATCTTCGATTTATTAAGTGTTGGACGATGTCGCAATCTGTTACCAGAGGTAAAGCACAACATATTTTTCGTAAAAGATACGATATAATAACTTGTTTTCTACTAATAGAGAATGAATGTTGGCCTTCGTGCATTTCTTGTTATCGCCGATAGTCTAGCACAAAACGATGATGCACCACCAATGCCACTTCCATCCAGTAAGTCATTTAATATATTTATCTTAAAGATATACATCTTTTGTTCTCTTTTTCTAGTGACTTTTCCATCCGGTCATACGATTCGTTCACGTCGTCCTCAGACAAAAATGATAAGTGAATCAATTGTAAAAGAAATTGGCTTGTCAACGTACTATGTATCAATTCGAAAAACATTTGATACTATTTTGAAAATGTTAGATACTCAGGTTGGAAGATGTTTGTTATTAACCCGACCAGATAATGCGAATAAAGATACAGAAGACTTACTAAGGTTAAAAAGATGCATAATGTTAAGTTTTTAAACTAAAAGATATATTTTATTTTAGCGGTGATCGAAAACCAAAACTCGAACTTCTTCGTACATGTATAGCCGCTATACCTCGTCTATTACCACTTGGAACGTCTCAAGAAGAATTAATTGAAATGCTTGCACGTCTTACTATTCACATGGATTCAGAATTGGCAATGTATATTGAACATTCAACCTGAATTAGATTTTATTTCTATAATTTTATATTGTTTTTCTAGACAAGCATTTCAGTCGTTGCAATATTTCGTTATGGAATTACCAGATTGGAGAAAAAGTGTTTTTCGAGGTAATATTTCTTTAAAACTGAAATAATTTCAGTTTATGATTTTTCAAAATTATTTCAAAGGTTTTACCAATTTTATTATACGAGAAGTAACAGATACGCTGATGTTTTTGTCTGATGCATGTAAAACAACATTGGAAAATTCAATGAAATTTCTTTTACAACTTGTTCAGCAATGGAAATATGCTGTTTTGAATCTCGCAAATAAAGTAGATCGACAAAAAGTCCATAATTTAGTGTTCTTTCTTCAAAGTTTCTTTTGTACAGAATGGTGCCAATATACGTACAGATTCTCTGTCAGCAGATGTTGAAACATTAGCCATGGTCGAAGGTTTTGGAATTATCTGTTTATCTCAAACACAACACATACGTCGAAAATATGGTGTTTTATTATTGCGTGAAATTAAAAATATAGCTGTGGCTACAAAATGTTTGCAGGTAACAATAATAAGTTTCAAGTTATGAAATCATCTTTGCAGAGATATAGAAGATTTGACATTTTTACTCAGTCTGTAATCTGTATTATTCGTATGTTTAACATTTTATTTTATTTTTCTTTAAGACCAATCAACAATGTGTTATTGATGTGCTTGATCAATCTGTGCCGACTGTTATTGAAAAAATTACACCATATTTGACATTTCAAGAAAAGGTACATTTATTCTTAATAAATAAAATTCTGATATTGATATCATTTATTTTCAGGCCAATTTATTCTGTGGTTCGACCGTTGATTTAGCCTGGCTTGTCGATCGTTCATTGATGTGGGATGCTGTAGAAGATAATAAGACAACATGTGATAATAATAATGTAAATCAAAATAGTACATTACAATCAACACCTTCACTTTCTACAATCAGTTCTGGACCAACTTTAATAAATTCATTATCAATTCCTGTTCCATCGTTAGCTACAACTCAACAACAGCAACAAACATCTGGTTTGTCATCTTCGATGCCATCATCTTTATTGCAATCATCGTTGAATGCATTAGCGTCAACAAACACTCCAACATTAACTACAGTCACAAGTACATCGAATACGTCGACGGTTGCGGGTGGTTCATCAACAACAAACCAAAATTTATCAAATAGTATGAATTCAAATGATGTAACAAGATTTGATCTTTGGGCTGAATGTTTAGCCGAATTATTTTCATATAAAAATATTTTGCAATTTCCTTATGCGAGAGCTGAAGCATGGCACATGGCAAGCTATCGACTAAATTATTTATTTTCATACGTTGATCCAAAGTAAATAGAATTCACTATTTAAAGGGAAAAAGAGAATTACTCGCGTGTTTGTTTTAGTAATCAAACAACGGATGTACGTTCCTCATTTGTCTTTCGTACCACCGATTTATTAAAAAAAGCAAATGAACGTGAATACAATTTAAATTTATGGAAAAACTACTTGATTGTTGCATGTTGTTTAACAATATCAGGCACAGAACGATTACAGGGTTATAATGCGGATGCTAGGTTAGTTATCAGACTTTTTGACAGATTAATTTTTTTTTAAATAAAATTCTCTGTTGTTGTTTTTTTAATTAGTGTTTATCAAGAAACACATCAGGATTCATCTAAATTTTATACGGCATCTTCAGTGACAGCTGTTGCATTGTTTCGTGTTGTCGTGCCGTTAGTTCGAAACGAACTAAGTGATATGAGAGAAATAATTATTAGAGGTCTCGGTCGAACAAATCCAGAAGCTTTCAAGTAAGCAAAAATAGTAAAACAAATATATTTTAAATTCATTTTATGTATCTATTTCAGAGATCTATTTGAAGATTTAACTGTTTATATTAAAGATGCTATGGAGATAAAACAAGAGAAAGTGAGACGAATGAAAAAACGTGATTATACAAGACTACGCTTGATACGAATATTTGAATTACTTGCTGATCGTGATGTATTTCGTTATTGGTATGGATAAAATATGAACACTCTTGTTTTTTTTTACTATTTTTCAGTTACTTTTAGTTATCTAGACGAAACTGTTTTTAAACGTTCATCTTACCAGACATACAATGAATATTTACAAGGTGCACTGATATATCTTGATCTTGAAAATGAAAAAGATTCTGAATTAATACAACAAATTCGACAATATTTTGCTCGTTTTACTTATAAATTTATTAATCAAATACCTCGTAGGTGTTTCATCAAACAATTTATTGTTATACTGTGTAAAAGAATGTTCATTGATGTTTAGGTACGGCTCGTGAAACACTTATTCCACCTCACATAAGATACAGCTTATTTGAATTATTTCGAAAATGGAGTGGTAATTTCAATATTATGACAGTATTCGGTGCAACAAGGTATTAAAAGTTTTGACGGAGAAAGCGATAGTCTCACCTTCTGAAATTTTTCGTGAGAGTCATCCGCTTTTTAAAAAGTTTTTGTTTTAAATCGCTTTTTCTCTTTCAAAAAATGTGGAGACAAACAACGCGAAAATGTTTTTCAAACTGTTTCTAATGGACCTTTTTTTTTAAGAATTCGTTCTTACTATCTAGATAGTCGCTAGATCTGCGACTGACATGAAGTTATTCTGTTTTTTATACTTTTAGAGAACAAAAGACTGAACCATGTTCTGAACTGGAATTAGTTTCCATTCAAGCTTGTGCAGCAACGCTTTGTTGTGGAACAATAGCCTTTGAATGGTTTCAGAAAACAGTGGTACCATGGTTAGATCAATTTATTGCTGCACACGAGGTAATTTAAAATTATCAGTTAATCAGTATACCTTTTAAATAACATTAGTAAATTATGAAAGATCTCAATATGAGCTATTAAACTACCCGTCGTCATTCTATTTAAGATGTCAAGAAAATTTAGCGTAAGTGTGATTGTCTTGTCTTTGCTAACGTCAGTCATTTCATCCTTGTCACCCATGATCTTGTAGTTTATCTAATCCTTTGAAGTAAAAGACAATAAAGTTTTGTTATTTAAAAGATATTTTTCCAACGAGCAGCTGGCATGAATAAAACACAAGATTTTTTTTGTTTTCTTTATAATGGCTTTGGTTAGTTTTTTAAATAGTGTTTTAAACAATGATGGGCTAAAATGATTGCTTTGATCAAAAAAAGAGGTCCATTCAAAGGTCACGATTGAAATCCACTGCGACTACTCACTCTTAATTCGGTCCACACCACAATGCTTTTGTATTGTATTCTGTGCTGGTGTTGTAAAAACTACGGTGCTTGTTTTTTGTTTTCGCATCTTGGTATCTGATTTTGTTCTCTGTCGTATTAAATTAATATTATTACTTTGAAGGATTATCATGATTCACTGGTGAAGAACTGATACCGCATTATCTAATCATAATCAGCTTTCGCTGAATTAACGTTTTTTTTACTTCATAAACAAAATAATTTGTATTGTATATTTAGACAAATCAATTGGCAATAAACACCGTCTTTCAATTACTTGAATTACATGGTGAAAATACTAATACAATGGTTATTGATTATGTGACAGATCGATGTTACACAAAATCTGTACGCTTTAGTGATCGATGTTTTACAGCATTAGCAAAAATATTTATTGAAGTTGCCAAGTAAAAATACTTTCGATTTTATTTGATAGTAATTAAATTTTCTATTTATCTTATATTTTTTATTTTTAGTGATTATCCTTGTGATATAACTGCTGTTTTGACATTAACAATGTTGAATGTTGGCTCACCACGTATGCATATTCATGAATTAGCATTAAGATTAATGGTTGTATTATGCAAAGGTATATAATGTCGATAGTTTAGAGGTTTATTACAGTTTAAAAATCTATTTTTGGTATCATATAGGTCATCTGATTGACACTCAGCCAACAACTGCAACAACAGGTTCAACCGAACAGTTGGCACAACCAGTTACAGATGACGTTGCATATATATTATCACTGGCATCATCTTATTCAAAAAGTCAAATGTTATTAAGTGAATATATGGCAAGGAGACGACCAGACTTAACTATAGCAATGTTTTCAGGTACATTGAAAATGATTTTGTTATAAAGTATTTAAATATATATTCAAAAAATTAATGTATGTGATACAATTTTTATCATTTAATTAATATTTATATTTTAGAGGTGACAACACGCGTATTAACTGCAACATCGAGCTGTCGAAGCTCACTGTTAATGATTTTATTACCATGGGTATATAATATTGAATTGATTGATTCATCATTACCAAAGTCAAATGGAAATGATAATAATTATTATGACAATGGTCATGCTTTTCTTAAAGGTTCTGGATGGGGTAGTGTACAAGCAACTGAACTAATTTTGAATAATCTATTTTATTTAACTGTTACAGTAAATATTTATTTATTTTTTCTCTTTTCTCTTTTTATTTTTATGTTGTTCAATTTGATTTTAGTACAGTTCGGAGCATGCCACCGAGTTAGAACTCTTATGGAATGCCTTAACATCAACGTGGGCACATAATTTAAAAGTAATATTACGTTATACATTAATTATGGTCACATTATCCCCCTGTGAATTATTACCACACGCTAAAAAGGTAACATTGTACATATGTAAAAATAATGAAGAACGTTTATTAAACGAATTGATGAATGAATTACAACAAATGGAATCATTTAATGGTTTACTTGAACGAACAGATACATTACCATTTTATCGTTTTACAAATTCAAATAATACAACAACAAACAATACTACGACAAATCCAATGAATCCAATGTTATTAATTAAAAAATCGTCCTCGACATTTAACGCACACGATGCGTCACAGCAACAAACTCGTGGAGTTTTTCATAATAAACGACATCATAGTGGTGAAGATACGTTGGACACATTCCCAGGTCTAGCATTAAAAAGTAGAACATCATCACAAACAAGTTTAACCAGTTTTCATGATAAAATAACAGTACGAGACTCGTTCGATGGAGAAAAGGGTAAGATGAGTAAAAACAATTAGAGCAAACGAATCGATTTTGAAAGTGTTTTGGTTTTAATTTTGATCTCATTAGATATTAGATAATCTATGTTCTTGTTTAGAATTTTCGATGATGCGTGTCGATGAAGTGCATCAACCAGCTCCACTACCATTGGCTCCTTATGGGGGTACTGCTGCACCATTTAAAACATTGCTACCAGAATTGTCAAGTCCAATTCCATGTTTATTTCGATGTAGTATTGGCATTATGCTCATTAATGAACTAATTGTTAGTGGATTACAAATCGATTGGTCAGCTCATTTACCAGAATTGTTACACATAGCTATGTTAGGTTGGTCTTGTTTTTTTTTTCCTTCTAATATTTATTGTGGCTATTCACTCATACCTTTTTATCTTAAAGGAATGGATCATAATCGTGCTATTGTTTATGAACATTGCAAAAGTCTTGTATTGAATTTATTATTGGCATTAAGTGTACAATCCGAACAAATATGGTTAAGTGAAATGCTGTTATCATACGTCGATTGGGATAATAGCAAATTATCAACAAAAATTCGTCAAGAACGAGAGAGTGCAGGACAAAATTGGACATTATTAAGTGAAACATTAAACGATAATTCAATTGGAAATAGTGTGGGAAGTAATAGTTCATCGTCAAGTATGATCGATACAATGAATGTTTCAACAACGGGAGATACACTAACAGCGTTGACACGTGAAGAAATATTACAAAAATTTATCCAATACTTAAATAAGAAAAAAGGAAGTCCATTGTGGGCTTATGAAGATATCACAGCAAAAGTACATACGCTACGAAGTGTCAAACAGTTACGACAATTTGTACAATGGATTGTTTATCTGTTTCGTTCATGTGTACCACAAGCAATGGTAGAAGAAAGATGGATGCAGTTAGCATTAAGAATTACATTAAGTTGTTCGAGTAGACATTATGCTGGACGTTCGTTACAAGTAAGAAGATTCAGTTTTTCACAGTACATGTTTCGGATAAATGAGGAAAAGTCATGAAAATGTTTTGTCTATTCCTGCAGATCCAAGCAAAAAATGATTCCCATTTACTATTGATTTTAGTGTTTTATGCTATTTATCCTCTGTGAAAGTAGTTTTTCTCTATACATTAGACTAATTTATTTTAAACGTTTTTTCATTCCTAATTTTTAGATCATACGTGCATTAGGTTTACCATTGAGCTTTCGTTGGGTAATTGATATATTATCACGTTTAGTGGAAACAGTTGCTGAACCAGGTGATGATATGCAGGGTTATGTAACAGAAATATTACTGGCATTAATGCAAAACATTGATTCATTAATAATGCAAATACGCGGCTTGGCAACATCCACATTTGCACAACAACGTTTATTACCACCAATGACTACCCAACAATCTCATACTTCAACATTTCATGATTCCGGTGTGCCATCATCAACAACATCATCGTTATTAACAAGTAAAATTGAAGCATTACAGAATAAACTTTTGTGTACAGGAATACACAATCGTTTTCAACCACAACGTCATTCTCGTCATCATCATTCGTTAGCTGAACGTGATACTCTATCAGTTGTTATTACAGGTGCAAGTTCGACTGGAGGTTCTTCTCTGTCACCTTATTT